TTTTTAGTTTTGGTAGATCATTTTGACTTGGTCATTTGAAAAGTAGCTTGCAAGGTGAAAAAGTGTGGGCACCACTGCTCTATACCAAACCCTTTATAAGGAGGACTGGTACTTTTGAAAACTCTAGTAGGCACCTGTGGGAGGGCAAGATCTGAGGGATTCAGTATATTTTCACAATTGTGTGTTTTAAATGAATTCTCCCAGGCCTAAATTTTCTGCCCTGAGTTATGAACCAACATCACTAGCCATCATTTCAATAACGTTCAAGTACTATTCCTTCTCTCAGCCCTCAACTTTACTGGGTGCATTGTGACCAGCTGAATAAAAATCTTAAAAGTTTAATTAACACTGGGTTCACAACTGGTGATCCGCATTACTAGGAAAGACTTATTAAAAAAATTCACATTGAGCCCCAGGATTTTTCCTGTAGTGTGTTGTGATAGTGCATCATATCAAAGATGAACAACGTGTTACCACCTCCCTCCACTGTGCAAAAGTGAGGTCAAAATAGTGTGAATACAGTGGTTGCCATCTTGGCATTTTGCAGGTAGATTCTGCGCAGTAGTGACTGATTTGTTGAGTGATCCATTAGGCCGCCAATCAAAGCTGTCTATTCTTTTGAAATACACCTCTTTTTATATCATCAAATAACTGATTTAAAAACAAAAAAATGACCACTTGTAAACACATCACCATCATTATATCTACCAAAAACAACAGAAATCACCTCTGGGAAAAATGTATTTGATTTGTACTTGGAGTTTTTAGTTTGGCTCCCATTCACTAACATGGAGGGGGTGGGATTTATGACCTATACTACAACCAGGCACCAGGGGGGCACCAATGGCTTCACTTCTAGGAGCTGTCATGTCATCCATATTTTATGCAGTCAATGCATTGCATGCTGTAAACCACACAGGTATATTTGGTTTTGCTTACAGTTCGAAAAGAGCCATGGATGAGATGAAGCAAAGACACATGAATGAGATGGAGCAGAGACACATGGGGTTCATCTTGACACCATCAATTAATAAACCATCAGCCTCTTGTGTTAAAGGCAATGGATGAACCTTTACACACTTCAATGAATTTGACTGAAATGGCATAATAAATCAAAACTCCTGCTCAAAACTATAGTCAGAATTCAATGTATATTTGGGGGGGCTGTTGGAGCATGGGGAGGGTGTTATA